CAATGCACATTATGCACATGCAAATACACACACATGAAATTGCTCCCCCCCCCCCCCGGGAGCTGCTCTCCTCTCCCCTCCCCCACCTGCTACGCTACCGGCACAAATGCCCTGCTGGAGACATGAGCGGTTCTCCCCTCTGCTGGTGTTCGCAGCCTGGGTCGAGGAGGCTAATAGGGGGTGAAGTTACTGAATACTCTGCCCTTGCTGGAAAGATCACTGTCAATTAGCCAGCAATGGCTTCTGGGGTGGAGCGCTCCAGGGCTGGAGGAAGGGCAGGAGTGCAGAGCAGAAGGAGCCCGCCAAGGAGATAGGCTGGGAGCTGCTATGAACTGAGGCAGCTCCCTGAGACGATCATGTTCCTACATGGGCAGGGATTTGACATCAGACTGAGAATGACAGCAGTCCACAGGCTGAGACAGAATGCCACCCTTGGCTTAAGATTATTATTAATATCCCACCTATTCCCTAGATTGGGACTCAAAGTGGCTTACAGACAAAAATACAAACCACAGATAAAATACAAAAACGTATAAAAGGCCATCATTCAATAACAATTAAACCTTGATAGAATTAAAACAATGTAAGGGGGGAATCTATCAAAATGCAGATATTAAAAACAGCACAGCACTATTAAATGTCCTTTCCTAAAAAGCAAAGCAAAGCAAAACAAAAACAAAATAACCCCCACCTAACTATACAGTATAAGTCATAACCAGCACTTTGAATTGTCCCCAGAAACAGACTGGCAGCCAAGTGGATTTTCAGCAAATCCCTGCCAGACCTCCATGCAACCTCTGCTAAAAAACCTCCAAAAAGGAGAGCTGACCACCTTCTGGAGAAAGTCTGTTCCACTGTCAAACAGCTCTTACCATCAAGAAGTTCTTCTTAATATTTACCGGTAATCAGAATTTCCTTTCTTGTCATTTGAGTCCATTTGTTCAGGTCCTAGCCTCTGCAGCAGCAGAAAACCATCTTGTTCCATCTTCCATGTGACAGCCCTATCATCTCTCTGTCTTCCCTTCTCCAGGCTAAACATACCCTGTTCCACCAGCAGTCCCTCATACTTACATCTTGGTTGGTCATGTCCCAGTACGGCCGCTCTCCATAGGACATCACCTCCCACATGACTATTCCGTAGCTCCACACGTCACTTGCAGAAGTGAACTTTCGGTACTGGATGGCTTCCGGTGCTGTCCAACGGATCGGGATCTTTCCGCCCTGTAGTGGGGGTGGAGCACAGGGTTTCTCGCTTGGGTTGCTTGCATCAGCCCCAGCCAAGTGGAATGACTGCTAATGGAGTCAGTGGGGAACAAGTAAATAAGAGTTAGCCCTAACCAACTTCTTGTAAGGAGGCTAGTATGTTGGCATAGGTCCAGTTGCACCTGTACTCATACCTGGCAGCACCGCAGCACCATTAATGCAAGTGCAAGTCTCTCATCCCCTGACTCCTCAGTTGAATATTTCACCGGTTGGTGAAGTGATAGCATTCAATGTGGGCTGCTGAGTCCAGGTTACTTCAAGCAAGCAAGGCTACCACAAACCTAAGAATCCTCTCCATAAAATACAGTGGTGCCTCGCAAGACGAAAAGAATCCGTTCCGCGATTCTCTTCGTCTAGCGGTTTTTTCGTCTTGCGAAGCAAGCCCATTGACAGCTTAGCGGATTAGCGCTACAGCGGTCTAGCGGCTTTTCGCGATCAGCTGTTAAGCGGGTTATCAGCGGAACAGCTGATAGGTGGCTTAGCGGCTTAGGAAAAGGGGGGGGAGCGGAAAAAAAACCTGCGGGGACGCGCAAGATTTTTTCGTCTTGCGAAGCAACCCCATAGGGAAATTCGTTTTGCGAAGCGCCTCCAAAACGGAAAACCCTTTCGTCTAGTGGGTTTTCCGTCTTGCGAGGCATTCGTCTTGCGGGGCACCACTGTACTGGTTTTAAAACTATGGGAGTCACTCCATATATGCCCACTTGATCGCTTCGATTGGCAGAACTGGCACCAGCACAGGTGAAACATAATACCTGTTCCACATTGGTAAGAAATCATTATTTTAATGTGGAAAAACCTACACGCTGGAACTCAGGCAGCTGCCTTCACCAGGGCCGGACCACCCATGAGGCAAGGTAAGTGTCAGGGACTGGGCAGAGGAGGAATGGTGGAGACCGCCTCCCCATCCTGACCCTTCCTGGGAGGAGGAAGAGGAAGACAGTATAGATTTACAACAGTGGACTGAGGGAGGTCACAGCTCAGAGGCAGATGAGGGGGAAATAATGTGAGAGAAGTAGGAGGAAGTAGAAGCGGAGTAACAGCTGACTGACACAGTGTCATTAGAAAGCATCCCAGACCCTCCATCTCCCAGAACCTGGCGAGTCTTAAAAGTAGGAGAGTAAAGAGCTCAAAGACAGAGGGCACGTAACAGCACCCATAGAAGTGACAAATGAGGAAGTGGGTGAGATGGGTGTGTGTGGAGATTTTCTTGGGACATCGCCATTATCCAAGAAGTTGGGTTTGATAGCCTCTCTCTGTAAAGATCGAAATGAAAAAGGATGGTAAGAAACCTTTCCTTGTCTTTATACTTTCCTGAGCAACCAGCCGGGAGCCACTGACAGCATCCTGACAGTAAGGTGAACACCTCAGGCAGCAGGATCTACAGGGACAGAAGCTCCCAATGCAGATCTTTATTTCCCCCTTGTTCCTGATTTAGACCTTCACTCGCCCCTTCTTCCCTAGTGGGGAAAGGGGTGCCATTTTGTGGTTTGCCTCTGGTGCCAAAATGTCTTGGACTGACCCTGTACTCTTTTCAGTGCCTGCTAGAAACCTTAAAAAAAGAGGCATGCCTACACAGACATGTAGAACATGGATGTGTATTTTGATCTGTTGCTGATTTTAGCTTTTGAATGTCTTAAAGGGTTGCTTTTGCACTTTTCACCGATAATTTCATTTTATTCTCTTTGCGAACTGCTTTGTGGTGCTGTTTTTCTTTTTACAACCAAGCGGTGCATAAAGTTTATGAAACAAACGTGAATAAATACAATGAGAAGGGAGCTTTCAAGGCACGAGAGCAAGATAGAACTCCCATGTTGAGGTGCAGTCTGCCTTTGAATACCAAATGCTTGTGTTTCTGCCCTGTTGGTAGTGCTCCCCAGTGGCAACAAGTTGGGTACCGCTAGATACAGACATGCTGAACGAGGCAGATCTTTGCTCTCCATCCAGAAGGGTTTTCCTCCCCCCACCCCCATATATTTCCTTATTTTCAAGGAAGGTCAGGAAAAAATTAGGTTGCCTGTTTTCACTATACCGATCCAGTTCTGTGACAGCACAGTGTCAGACCCCCACCCAGCGCTGTTCGTACCGACCAAATAAAAAATGCAATGGGAGAGGCTTCATTGCCAGCATCAGTGATGCTTCAACAGCCTCACTGATCATCAAGGAGGAAGAGCCATAAATTCTTAACACTTCCGTGCTGTGTTTGCGTTAAGAGGCCTTTGGCGAAGGCCATTTCTGTCTGCTGCAGAGAAAAGCCAGATTCCTGTGGAAGGTTGACCCAGATAAGGTGCCCCGTGACCCTTCCGACTCATCTCTACAGAAGAAACTTCTTGTGTGTGTGTGTGTGTCTTCTCCCCTGTACATGATTGGGCTGAGTAACTCACGTCACGGGGAGACATCCCTGGCCTTCCCAGAGTCCTCTGATCCACCGTGCCAACTCTAGAACCAGTTTTCTTTGTGTGTTTATGGGAAACACTTCTTGAATCATTTGCCCCAGAGCAGGGAACCTTTTTGGCCACACGGGTCAGATATTCACTAGGATCGGCCTTGCGGGCCAATTTCGACAGGTGGGGTAGAGCCGCCCACCTGCTGACCTTACAACTGCACCATCTGTGAGGTGCTGCTAAATGAGAAGTGTTTCCCACCCCCACCCCCACATCGTTTTAGCAGACTTCCATGGGGGTCTCCCGCTAAAGCGATGAGCTGGAGATTCTGAGGCACACCTGTTCCCAGCTCTTTGTGGGCAATCTCACTTAGGTCCATTACTCTGAATAGAACTCAGTTGAATAGCATCAGAATAGAAGGCCCGTGATGAAGCGGTGGCAAGGCAAGTTCGCAGGAGGGGAACATAGAAGAGAAGAAGAAGAAGAGTTTGGATTTGATATCCCGCTTTATCACTACCCGAAGGAGTCTCAAAGCAGCTAACATTCTCCTTTTCCTTCCTCCCCCACAACAAACACTCTGTGAAGTGAGTGGGGCTGAGAGACTTCAAAGAAATGTGACTAGCCCAAGGTCACCCAGGAGCTGCATGTGGAGGAGCAGGGAATCGAACCCGGTTCACCAGATTACGAGACTACCGCTCTTAACCACTACACCACACTGGCTCTCTCGAGTTTGCTGGATCAGGCCAATGGTCCATCTCACCCAGCATCCTGTTGTTATGGCAGCCAACCAGCTGTCTGTGGGAAGCCAGCAAACATTATTTGAGCACAAGAGTGCTCTCCCTTCTCCTGCGGTTTCCAGCAACCAGTATTCAGAAGAATTTCTGCCTCCAACTGTGAAGGCAAAGCAAAACCATCATGGCTAGCAGCCATTGATAGCCTTCTTCTCTGTGAATTTAATCCTCTTTTAAAGCCATCCAAGTTGGCCATCACTACCTCTTGTTAAAGTGAGTTCCATAGATTAACTATGCACTGCATGAATAAGCCCTTTCTTTTATCTGTCCCAAATCTTCCGATTTTCAGCTTCATTGCATGCCCATGAGGTCGAGTGTTTATGAGAGAAAGGGGCTGGGGGAGGTTTTCTCTATCCATTTAAGTGTGCTGCATGTTTTTTCTCCCAGAGATTGACCACCCACCTGACCACCTAGCAGGGACTGGACAGAGGAGGAATGGTGGAGACCGCCTCCCCAGCCTGACCCTTCCAGAGAAGAAGAAGAAGACAGTTCAGAATTACAACAGGGGTTTGAGGGAGGTCACAGCTCGGAGGTAGATGAGGGGGAAAGCTGGGAAATAATAGGAGAGGAGGAGGAGGAGGAGGACACACCAGGGGGAGGTGACAGCTGATGGACACAGTGTCTTTAGAAAGCATTCCAGACCCCCCCTCCCAGAACCCGACGAGACTTGAAAGTAGGAGAGCAAAGGGCTCAAAAGCAAAGGGTCCTCAGCGCCACTTGTAGGGCAGTGATGATGAATGAGGAAGTGGGAGAAAAAGGAGGTGGAGAGTCACTTGGGACAATGCCATTATTTCAAGAGGCTGCATTCCAAGCCTCTCTCTGTAAATACGGAATAAAAAGCAGGTGGTAAGCACCTTCCCTTGTCTTATCCGTTCCTGGCAACCTGCCGTGGGAGTTGCTTCCTCTGATACCACCTTGGAAACCACTGAGTTTTCCCTCCATCCTGCCTTCACCCCGGAAGGTTTCCTTCCTGTGTCTTACCAGGGCGCTTGTGTAGGTGGGATCCGAGGTGTCATCTTCCAGGAAGCGGGAGAGGCCGAAGTCCGAGACCTTGCAGACGAGGTTGCTGTTGACGAGGATGTTGCGAGCCGCCAGGTCACGGTGGACGTAGTTCATGTCGGCCAGGTACTTCATGCCAGCAGCAATGCCCCGTAGCATCCCCACCAGCTGGATCACAGTGAACTGACCATCGTTTTGCTGCAGGGTAGAAGAGAAAAGGGCCGGCAGGGTCAAGCAGGGATCAGGGTTGGACAAGAGGGGGTTTCAAGGAGAATTCAGGCCACCAAACCACCAGGCTAATCACCTTGGCTCATAGAATCAGAATTGTAGAGCTGCAAGGGACCCCAAGAGTCATCTAGTCCAACCCCCTGCAATGCAGGAATCTTTTGCCCAACGTGGGGCTCGAACCCAGGACCTTGATATTAAGAGTCTCATGCTCTTGTAAATATATTATTTGCAAAAGAAGCTGCACAACTGTGAGCTGATCCTCCCCAAAATGGGGCTTTCCCCCTTTCCTCCTCTAAAAACTAGGTGCATCTTATGGTCAGGTGCGTCTTATGGAGCGAAAAATACGGTATATAAGTCAATTGAACAAAATATATAAAAAACAAGCAGAACTGTAGCAATAACAAAGACAATCAAAAATTTAAAAAGAAATCCTTATGATAATTTATCAGATTTTTCGTGTGAATTTTTCCTATTATACACATTTATGTCAGCGGTTTTGACTGATGTACACATTTCTGCAAGCCACTTTCCTCAATTTACAGTGGTACCTCAGGTTACATATGCTTCAGGTTACATACGCTTCAAGTTACAGACTCCGCTAACCGAGAAATAGTGCTTCAGGTTAAGAACTTTGCTTCAGGATGAGAACAGAAATCGTGCTCCAGCAGTGCGGCGGCAGCGGGAGGCCCCATTAGCTAAAGTAGTGCTTCAGGTTAAGAACAGTTTCAGGTTAAGTACGGACCTCCAGAACGAATTAAGTTCTTAACCCAAGGTACCACTGTAATGTATTTCATAGAATCGTGGGGTTGCAAGGGAACCCAAGTGTAATCAAGTCTAACTTCCTAAAGTGCAGGAATCACAACTAAAGAATCCCTGATGGATGGGCACCCAGCCTCTGTTTAAAAACTACCAGTGAAGGAGAGTCTACCACCTTCCAAGGTAGTCTGTTCCATTGTCAAATAGCTCTTACCACCAGAAAGTTCTTCCTAATGTTTAGTCGTAATCTCCTTTCTTGTAATTTGAATCCCCTGGTTTGGGTCCTCCCGTCAAGAGCTGCAGAAAACAAGCTTGCTCTGTCTTCCATGTGGCAGCCCTTGAGATATTTGACGATTGCCCCAGAGACCTGAGCAGGTTGCTGCTCTTTGAGGGTTTTGCACCAATCAGGCTCAGTCAGTTAGTTCCCTATCCAGAGGGTGCGGTGGGGAGGAAATCCTGCCTGACAACGTTATCGTCCAATATGCAGGAAACAACATGTGCAACAGCTGCTCCTTGGGGGAAGGAGGCTAACTTAGTGGTAGAGCATCTGTTTTGCATGCATAAGGTCCAAGGTTCAAGCCTAAATGACACCTAAAGTAGGGCCAGGAGAGACTTTGGCTTGAGATCCTGAAGAGTTGCTGTCACTCAAGTGTAGACTGAACCTGATGGGCCATAGGAAGTGACAGCTTCCTCTGTTTCTATGCTCTCTTTGACTGTACGGCCTGCTTCCTACCACTCAGCTCTTAATACACTTGGTGGAGTGAGAGACTAGAGCAGCTGCTCTCAACCTTGAGTCCCCAGATGTTGTTGGACTACAACTCCCATCATTCCAAGCTAACAGGACCTGTGGCCAAGGATGATGGGAGTTTCAGTCTAACACTATCTGGGGACCCAAGGCTGAGAAAGACTGGTATAGATTAAGGATCCACATGGGCGGGAGATAGGGAGGAGAGGGGTTAGATTGCTATTTGTATGATCTTGTACGGCCCTACATGGAGGTGGGTGAGCGATCTGTTTGTAAATGATGCTTAATGAGAACAGGGGGCTGTCTCCAACTAAGCCCTACTCAGAGTAGACCCATTGAAGCAAGTGGACCTAAGTTAGTCATGTCCCTTAAGTACAACAGATCTACTCTGAGTACTACTAGCATTAGGAGCAACCCAGAGACTTTGTGTGTGCGGATGCAACATCGATTCCATTTATTTTGTTTAGCTGTTAATGATGTTTACATGTGGAATTTTAATTGTATTTTGGTATTTGATTTACATTTGTAATGCTTTTCTTCAATGTTTAAGCACCTGCTTTGCATTCTCACTAATTATGCTGCTTTAAATGTGCTTCTCCGCTCTCTTTTTGTATTCGATTCTCATATGTAGTGTTTCATTTTGTAAAGTTGATATTTTGTAAAGTTCAATTTGATCAGTAAAGAAAGGTTGCAGGTGGGATAGAAACGATTTAAACAGATAGAAATAAAGGGAGTCAACGTGATGACATATTTAGCCCCTTTTCGGCAGATACCCAATTCCAATTGTGCGTGTTTGTCTCTGTGTGTTTGTCACCTGCTTTTGTGCATCTCTCTTCCAGGTCTTCAGAGAGGCTCACAAAGAGGACAGCTGCTTCCATGAGGAACCTCTACCAGTCATTGAACCCACTCCCAGGCCTCCCCCATTAACAGCGTACCCGTAGGAAGGAATCCAACGAGCCGTTCTCCATGAATTCTGTAACGATCATGACAGGGGGGCTCTTGGTGACCACCCCCTCCAGGTGGATGACGTTGGGGTGGTCAAACTGGCCCATGATGCTGGCCTCGCTCAGGAAGTCCCGCCGCTGCTTCTCGGTATAGCCAGATTTCAGTGTCTTGATGGCCACAAAGCTCTCCCTCTTGCCTGGAAGCTTGAGGTGGCCACTGCACACCTCACCAAACTCCCCTGGAGTGGAAAACAGGGTGTAGGAAGAAAGAGCGCCCTAGGTTTCTGAGCTTTGGGAGTGGGTGGGGGAGAGATAGCGGTTACCTCCCACTGTTCCCCATTTCCTCACCCCCAGTTCAAAAGCAAGGCACGATCCCTCCCTTGGTCAGAGCCACCCATGGGAAAGTGAGGCACCCACACAGACTGGGCCTAAGGCTGCGCCAAGCGCCTTCCCTCATTTCTTAGCATCCTTGGATTGCAGAGTTGGAAAGGACCCAAAGAAGCATGTAGGCCAACCCAATCACATCCCAGTAAAATGGGGCCATTTATGCAGTTTTGACAGAGGTGGGGAGGGCACTTTGTGGGGGATTGTTGAGAAACTCTTTGGCGCTTTTCCTGGTTGTTGATTGTTATTCTCCCGTCCAAAAAAGGGAATGTCCTAAAGATAGCAATGTTCTGAGTCGTTTTTGGAGAAATGGTGGTCCGCAAAAGAGGCCACCAGTTTATGAAGTAGCTGCCATTTTCCTCCATAATGCTTGTTCTATATCTGAGATATTCTGAATGTGTGGGGTGGGGAATGGCTGCTGCTCTGCTGAAGATAGCTCCACTACCATCTAGGGAGAGAGAGAGAAAATCCCACCTCTGCTCCACCTGAAATGGCCCCTGTCCCCGAGTGGAGGGAAGTCCAAGGCTCAGTTGAGATTAACTCAGTTATGTATTTTATCTATGATTTGTGAAGTGGATATAATTTGTATAAGGTATGTGGTGGATTTTTTGTTTATGTTTTTTCTGTATATATGTGCAAATATGAATAAAAATGTATTAAAAAAAATAAAAAAATGAAATGGCCCCTGTCCCACTCTTGATTTTCAAGACGGAAGTTCAAAAATGCAGATTTTCGGCATGGCCCCAGCTGGGTGTGCAACTCAGCCACACCCTCCCATTGACACACCCTCCCTGTGACAGTTTGGGGTTGCAGCACGGGCATCCAAGGGCGGGGACTTACCTGCACCAATCACCTGCTCAATTTTGACACATGAGATGTCAATCTCCTTTGCAAACTCTCTGACAGCCTCATTGGGGTCTTCGTAGGTGAAAGGGTCGATGTAGATCTTCATGCCGGGAGTCACTGCTCAGGAGTGGAAAAGGGTAGAGATGTCTCTGTCTCTCTGTCTCTCTGTCTCTCTCTGTGTATGTATTCATTCAGCACACTTAAATACCCAGCCCATCCCCAAAGAACTCAGGCCAACTGTCGCTGTTTCTCCCACTTTACAACCTTTGGCACCCTTCCAGCACCCTTAACAAACAACCCTTCCCAGGTTTCTTTGGGGAAAACCATGAGTATTTAACGTGGTTTAACCACAGCACTTTAAACGTGTAGTGAAAATGAGGCCAAAGCAGCAAGATGAGCCAATTCTCCCCGGTTGCCAACCAGTTCTCTCCCTTCCCATTCTGACCACCACAGCACACTGCCTTTATTGCAAATGTGCAGCGATACCCGGAAGTGTCTGCACGAGTATGTGGTCAGCCTGTATGAGGAAATGCTTATGCGCAACTCAGCTGTGTGCCTCTGGTGGATCAACTGATATGGCATCTATCAGGGTGGGATTTTGCAGTGTCAGGAAACAAGCACAGGGTAGAAACTGCTCTTATTCTAAAAGGGTGATCCTTGTTTTGTGGGCAGGGTTGCAACATGGGAAGTTCTTGCTACCGTACATGCTGGGATTGTGTTTATGTCAATACATATTGGGATCCAGTGGCTTTTGAACTCAGCATCATCACCGCACCAAAGATCTATCTGGACTCCCAGGTTGTGCTTACTTTCAATATTTATGGGCGATTTCCTTCAATTTAACAAAGCAAGATATATTAATAACTCATTTGCTAACAGCTGCTTGTTCAGTCGTGGCTCAAGGCAGGAAGGACCTTTCTACATACTCCATTACCAACTGGTTTCAAAGAGCCTTCTTTACAGGGCCATCAGAGAAACTGACCCACAACTCTGGGTTCTTAGACGAGAAACAGACCTGATGGATTTTGTGGCTTCTTGCAGCTTATTTAATGACAGTCACACACACAGCAAATCCTATCAAAACATGATTTCATCTTGCACTGTTTTTGATTTTGTGAGTTTTTGATCTGCTGTTTATGTCTGATCTTGGATTATTACTGCTGTACTGCCTCTTTTTGCCCGATTTCCTTTTTATCTTTCGTCTCCTTACCTTATACCTGACCATGCTCAATCCCCCCCCCTTTGTTGTTGTTGAATTGTTGAAATAGTCTGTTAGTTATATAAAAACAGTTTCAAAATATATTTTAAAAATAAACTGCTTTTATACTTGCGTTGCTATTTGGCTGTTCCATTTCCCTCCTTACTGAAAGTGGGGTACTTGGCGATTGAATGTGGAGTAAGGGCGCTAACTACCTGAAGCTAGTATCCAGTGCATGTGTGTAAAAGAAGAGGAGAGAGACACTGTTGGGTCAGGCTAGCAGATGTAGTGAGGTCTAGGGAGGAGGGAGCGATGCCTTAGACTGGGGCTCCAAGTGACCAGGGCCCAACACTTGATCTCTGCACCACTAATGCCCTTTCAACTGCAGGTCTGGCCGACTGTGCCCTATACTTCAGGGGTACTACCAGCCACCCTGAGCTTTGTCAGCTAATCAGCAAAGGCCAATCCCTGGGTGGCATTTAGCTACGTTCTGTCCCTGCCCCCTCTCTGCATGCATGATGCTGTCCCCAAATCTGCTGAGATTTCGGAAGAAGAAGAAGAAGAAGAGTTTGGATTTGATATCCCGCTTTATCACTACCCTAAGGAGTCTCAAAGCGGCTAACATTCTCCTTTCCCTTCCTCCCCCACAACAAACACTCTGTGAGGTGAGTGGGGCTGAGAGACTTCAGAGAAGTGTGACTAGCCCAAGGTCACCCAGCAGCTGCATGTGGAGGAGCGGGGAATCGAACCCAGTTCACCAGATTACGAGTCTACCACTCTTAACCACTACACCACACTGGCTCCCATTTCAGGAGCCTTCAGGGAGAGGGGAAGCAGAGATCATTCCATTGTTGTTGTTGTTTAGTCGTTTAGTCGTGTCCGACTCTTCGTGACCCCATAAATCCTTATATTGATGGAACAATTTGCTTAGTGCTTTGTTGAATTCATCCCTCCCCTCCCCCATCCCAGACATCACTGCCATGCAATACCCTGGCATCAGTGGGTCAGGAAATCATTTATGGTGTGAGGACAATAATTTCAGCCAGGGGTGAGGGACGTTCCTCAGCCCAAGAGCAATGGTCGCTTTTGAGCAAGCTTCTGGTATCAAGCAAGTCAGTAGTAAGTGGGCCTCTCTGTGGCCCTCTCTGGTCTGTGTTTTCTGTCCCCAGACTGTTCCAAGACGCACATCCATTTCTGGTGCCCAGCTCCGTCCTCCACTCCACCCTATATCTCTGTCCTCTGCTCTACCACCAGAAGCCTGGCTCTTATGGAGACCTGACTGACAGCTGGGGACTTTTTCGTGTGCAAAGAACAGCAAAGTGTGGGCCTAGAGGGTGGAACATTATTTGGAATATGCTATGAAGGAACTCTTCAGCCTTGGCTCTCCTAGATATTGCTAGACTACAGGGACCACCACCCACAGCCAGCATAGCCAAAGTTCAGGGATGATGGGCCTTGTAGTCTGACGACATCTGGGGAGCCAGGGTTGAAGAAGGTGGCTCTAAAAAAGTAAGTTTGTCCAGATGCCTTCAAACAATGGGGGGCAGAGGTCCGAAGGCACTGAGGCAGACCAGGAAACAACCTCCCCACCCCACCCCTCACCTCACCCTTGGGGCTTCATGCCCACTGGAGAGTACATACTGTGGCCGCTGGTATAATGCTGCAGCTTGTCGGTGTACTCGGAGTCTGCACGCTCAAATCCTCGTCTTCTGGAAGGAGAGCACCGGGCTGAGCGGGAGGCAGATGGACTAGCAGAGCAGGGGGGCAAGGCTGGGCTTCAGCTCTCAGCCCAGAGGCACAGAGCATCTTTCCCGCGCCCCTCCCAGCTTGGATCCCACCCCTTCCCCCCTTCCAAGTCCCTCCCTCCCTCTCCTGGGAGGCTGCATCTGCACTAGGGTGCATATGGGGCGGCCGTTCAATTTCCACAGAGGCTGTACATACAATCTGCACTGTCTCTGGGGCCTGTGTTAAGCATTCACAGGGCACCAATCTGCACCAGCCACCTCTCTCCCACAAGGTTATCCCACCCACCCTTGGACCAGCAAGAGCCAACAATCTCAGAGCATCTTCTACTGCTGCTTCTTTTGGGAATATAATATGCTGCCTCTGTCGGTCTGGCTCAGTATCACCTGCTCTGACCAGCAGAGGCTCTCCAGGGTCCTGCCTGGAGATGCTGAGATTCAAAACTGGGACCTTCTATATGCAAAGCAGAATGCTTTAAACCTGAGCTAGCATAGAAGTGGTTCCTTTCAGACTGGCACCACTTTCCTCTGCAGCACTGGTTTCTCCGTTGTGCATTGTTTGATGCAAGAGCTGTGAAACGGGAGCAGCGCAGCATCTCTTATAATGCCTGCTGGATCTCTCCCAGCTTCCCTCCCTCCTCCCAATGATCCCCTCCTGCCTCTCCCAGTAGCAAAAGCTCCCTACCTGTTGCAAACAAGGACGATGACTACCAGTGCAATGAGGAAGACGAGTCCCGCAGCCGAGGAGCCAATGATGAGCGGCAGCTTCTCCTGGATGCTGGTTTGGTACTCAGCTGTGAGGAACAAGAAAGAAGAACAAGGCGGGGCTTACTCCTCGGTTGGATGAAGGGGGCCCAATCCCAACCATGGTTGGCACTGAGAGGGAGAGCTGAGTCACTGTGCATGTGAAAAGCGAACCTCTCTAATTTGCACATCCTGAAACAATAGGTGAAGAGAAACACAGCCATCCTTTGAAATTTTGCACTTTTCCAAATTTTGCAGTGCAAAGTAACACATGTAAGATCACGTATATTAAATTGCACATATTGGTGACCAAAAAATGTGTAAAGGTAATTCACATCTTAGGCAAGGGTTATGTTCTGGGGATGGCACTTATATGCGAAACCATGGATACTCAACCACCT